GCCCAAACACAGAATTACATACAAGTTGCCTGTGAGGCATGCAAGCTTAGGCTGCAGCAGGGCTAGCCAAGTTACTTAATGCAAGAATGCAGCCCCCAGGCAGCCTCTGCAACCTTTGTTCACAAATGAATTCAAAGATACCTGGTTTAGGATTAAATGGGTAATCTCCAATGTAGATGATTGTTCAGTTAACTACAGTAAGATTTACAGCCTCAGTTTCCCCACATGTAAAAAGATAGGCCTTACAGAAGTGCTGGTAAGGGTAGTGAAGCCACCAAACAGAGCAGAGGCACTACAGAAACCTCCACTGACAAAAAAAAAACAAACAAAAAAACAAACAAAAAAAAAACCCTGTGTCATCTCTGCATCATCTCTCTTTGTTTCCGCAGACAAGGTTCTGGTTCACTGTGCTATGGGTCGCAGCCGGTCAGCCACATTGGTCTTGGCTTACCTGATGATTTACAAGAACATGACAGTGGTGGATGCCATTGAGCAAGTATCAAGACATCGATGCATCTTGCCAAACCGGGGCTTCTTGAAGCAGCTGAGAGAACTGGACATAGCGTTGGCACTGCAGAGGAGGAACGCCAAAAACAGCCTACCATCTGATGGTGACAAGAACAGCACCACAATCTAGTATTGTTCCCGGCAGGGTTGTGCTACTGGAAAAGAAACTCCATAAAAGGAGATGAGGGGAAGGTGTAGTTAATTACACAGTCACAAGGATAATTTGTTATTTGGAAGGAAAAACAAAGTAAATTCAAATGCTGTCAAGATGAGAAAGAAGAGAAACCAAATTTAAAACCCATCTTCTTAGAATGTTCCAGCCTTAGCAGAGTTTTGTGTGACATGAGCAAATAAATTTTACCCTCTGTAAAAAAAGCTTTTACAGCACAAAAGCAAGCACAACTTACAGAAAACCCTCTTCTACCCGAGTGCCCGAAAATCCTGATCCTAACCCAAACACATGGCCTTTAAAAGAGTGGAGCTAGGCATTCCTGAGGAAATTTTGCAGGGAAAACACTAGGATGGTAGCAGCACAAATGAATCGTGAAGTTTAGTCCCAGAGTCCTGACAGACTTTGCAGGAGTTTGCCTTTTTGTGCTGTTTCCTGGCATCTCCATTTCTTCTTTCACAGTTATTTATAATCTAGGGCAGCACTGCCTTTAGAGACCCTCCAGATGAGGATCAACTACCCAGTCTTCATAATGGACTTTGCAGCAGACCATGCAAGCTAGAAACAAAGCAAGACCCTGGGGAAGGTCAGATGCATAAGCATATACAACCATTCAAGGAGATATATACAGAAAAATTTCAGCAGTTCCAGTTTTAACTTGTTTTTCCTAAATGCTTCAACTGCCTCAATTTTAAAAGGTCCTATACATTCAGTATCCAAGTCAATTTACTAGTCTGCACAAAAAAAAAAAGACTGAGAAAATTATGCCTTGTGACTAGTTTTCCTGCGCTTAGAAAAACTAACAGCAAAAACAATAAACAAGAAAAACAGTGCTAAAAGGAAGCTCAACACTGAACTTGTGCAGCCCTAATAACCCCCTAAATAATCATGGATTATAGCCAATTTTAATGAGATTTTCATTTTAACTAAAAGGGCAAGAGGCACAGGTGGAGCCTTTAATATCCCACAGTGACCTGACTAACAAGGAGAAAGCTGCTACTGTGCTTCCAGACACTACTGCTCATATTTACCACTACCAAATGTTTCCTCCTATCTCAGCTTTAGTCACCTTAATACATTGTTGTGCTCCTATACAGCTGCTAATAATTTTATTTGTTGACAGAAGTAGTCCAAATACCCAAATGGCAACACTGCATCTACCCTCCTGAACTTACTCAATTTACTCTATCTGATAAAAACCATCAGTAACTGTTTTGACACTATGAGAGTTTTGCCACCTCAGCAGTATTTGATAGTCTCAAAATATACTGTAGAGGAGGATCACAATTAAGCCATGTTTACCTTTCCTGCATCTGCAAAAAAGGTGAAGTCATCATCCTCCCTACTGGAATTTTGCCCAATTCCATGTATCAGGTAAGAGGTATTAATTGCCTCAGTGCCTGAGAGGAACAACTTAAGCACCGAGAGCACAGAAGAGTTCTCTTGGTCTTTACCAGCTGAAAAAGACTTCGTAACTTTGGTGCAATATGCAGTGTAGAAGTCTTGGATACCTAAAAAACAACCAAAAAAAACCCTCACAAGGCAGAAATGTGCCACTGAGAACTGCAAGTATATGCTACAAACCAAACAGAGTTGAGCACAACTTTAAACCATTTCTTGTAGATGTTAACAGCTCTTTACAGGTTTAGCATCTCTAGTGTGAAGGCTTTCTATTCCTTTGCTTCCTTTTGGAGCCCAAAACCCAGTAAATCATTAATCTCTAAACAGTAATTATAGCCAAGGCTGCAGGCACCCACAATGCAATGCTTTTGACTTATCATTTGTATTTATCTGTATACCTCATCTTCAAATTCTCAGACACAGCAGAACACAATAAACACAACTAGACTACTGTTAAAAAACAAATTAGACACCACAATGTGAATATTCATGATAGAGATACACAAACTCTAGGGCTTACAGCAAATTAAGCATCCCTACACCTGGGTTAGAAAAAAAACACAACAGAAAAAACAGAAATGAAAGAAAACTCAAAGGAAGTTATTTGACACTTCAAAAATAAATAAGCAGTCACAATGTGGGTTTAAAGAGTCAAAATTCTTGGACTGGGTCCCTCAACTCTTTCCATCTACTTCCATAGACCTTCAAACGCACCTTTTCAGAGCATCTTACTGTCTACTACAATTTAATTCATGACCCAGACATGCAACAGCTCTCCCAGCCTTGTGTCTGACAAACCTGCCTTTGAGACACATGGCCCGGCTCTTTCATTTACCCTGATGAAGAAAGCTGAACTTTCTCACCTCTATGACAGCAGTGGTTCTTAGCATTAACCTTACAGACAGGAATTCTGTACCAAATGATCTACTATAATACAACAAATATCGACCAGGACTTCCCTCAGTCAAGTTAGAGGCTATTTTCTTTTTTGTATCCTGCATGATAGTTTGATGACTGCTGTAACTGGAAGAGGATTTGTAGCTGATTCACACGCAGAATTGTATTCAAACAAGGTTTTCTGGGGCCTGGAGATGGCTATTTCTTTTGCTGTCTGAGACTTGTGCAAATACACAGGAAAAATTTTAGCTTCCTGAGGCCCAAATGCTTGTGGTGGAGACTGAAAGCGCTTTCAAACAACAGCCTCCCAACTACTGATAGAAAGCAAAATACTAGAAGTCTGAAGTAGTTCCCACTGATTTTGTCCTGCACAGCAGATTAGGAAATTGGCACATGGCAACACTGACACAGCAACAGAAGAATGTATTGACAATTTCCAAATGACAGGATTCCAAGCTTCGCAGAAACTAGGAGCTGCTATTCTTGCATGGAGATGAAAAATGGCACAAAACTGTTTTCTCAAGAAGCAAATCAACAGAACCCTGTATTCCAGTGTTTCTACAGATACTACTCAAAGGCCTTAAACATGGCCTAATTAAGTTTATTTATTCTTACTCAGCAGATGAGGAAAAAACTACCAAGAATTTAAATTACTTAAAGTTACGATAAAGCCAAACCTGTAATCCTACTTTGTATCTTTTTACAAACTCCCTCCCTACGCCACAAAGCTCAAAACAAGAGGTTTTGATCAATGCATACATACCCCAGAGCTTCACTGTGGAAGAGCTGACCTATACAACTATATAGGTCACAAACAATACTGGAAATACATAGTTTTAATATGGAGAAGTAGTAAAAGTAAAGGGAAGAGGAAGAAAAACAGAGTCCTAGGTCTTTACTACATTGGTAAGTCTGCTTGCTGCTAAAGGTGCCAGTCTCTACAGAACAGGCTGTATTAGGATCACCCTCAGCACTACAGATAATTGCCAGGCCCATTCTTTCCATTTACCACACTGTATATAAATGGAGTTAGTTTCTATCAAATAGCCTGCCTGATAGAAAAATTAAACAGCTTATAAAACTAAAACACTGAGACAGTAACCTAACATGAAAGTTTTCTATGTTTAGAAGCTCTGTTTCTGCTTATATCATACAGCTTCTTTAAAAGTTAGTAAAAAATTGGTTATATTTTGTCCGCTACTAGGAGATCGGGTAGCCAGAGCATGACAACACTTACCATCCCTCTCTTTGCTAAGGGGCTAGAGCGCAGTTTTCAGGAGTACTGTGATTTGGCAGCTACCAGATGAAGTAGGTTCTGCTCCAAAGACAAGTATCTTCCCTAGAACCAGGTCTTGCCTGAAGCACTCTGGTAGTACAGCTATGCCAATTAACCAATTCTGAAGTAAACATACTTATTTACTTTTTTCCCTACCATTCTCCCAGAATCAAGACGACTAAATCAGAAAAAGCAGTAGTCCTGGAACATCTAGCTTCCACAAAGCAGGCAACCCCTGCAAATTGCTAACTAGGAAACTAATAAGCCTTGGCAGCATTGACATCACCTACAAGCCAGGTCTGCAAACAACGTACACGCAGAACGAGGCATTTCCTTCTTGCAAATCACCAATGGTACGAAGCACCCTGTTTGTCAAACTGAAGACTAAGATTGCATGGGCATGGAAACCTGCATTCACAAGAATCATCTACTGCAACGCTGTGAAGAATCCTTTTGAGACACTAAAAGAAAGAGTTAATTCTCAGCTAGGATGGTGCTAGAGCACAGTCAAAACTGACACTGCAACAGACACACAATATATACAACAGACAGATCTGTCAAGGAAAAGACAGCCACCTTATAAAACAGAAATTTCAGTGCAGTAATGCAATTCACAGCTGAATAATCGCTATAGGAAAAGATCTAGGAAAGCCATTTGTCCTCCTGAAAGGAATTCAGCTCTGAGATAAAAAAAAATAATAAAAATTGTGAACTTGCCTGATGTGGACACACAGTACATCACCTTCCACCCAAATTTTAATCCATATATTGCAAATACAGAATTTTAACAGTACGCTGGAGTCAGGAGATGCTCAAGTTCAGGTTAGCACATACTGAAATGGCAAGAAGGTCTGACTTGCCGGTATGTTACAGGCTTGGAAGCCTGAAACTAAACAGAAGTGGATGAAGACCCAGGTGCCTTTTTCACTCACTGCAAAAACATATAAATGAAAAATCACAAAACATAGTGCTACTTTGAGATGCAATTATTCAACAAAGATACAAGGTCCTAGTTATACACACTCAAAGGCTGCACATTAACTGTGTTGAGTTCACCTTCCCTCTTGCTAAGCATGAAAAAAGGTGACTGACTTTGTGAAGACAAACGTGCATATAGTTTAAGTACTACGAATACTCTTTGCATTCAAACAGCAAATTTGACAGTGTAAGTGCATGGACAAAGATCTTTGTTGTATTGTGCTCTCCTTGTCAAGCACTCTGAACTCCTAAAACACAAGTTACTCCAAATTACCATATGACCAGCAGTTTTAGCTCCCATTCAGACCCACTATTTTAGACTGCTGCCCCATCATATTAAATTTCAACAAGTTATGCACATGAACCTGCAGCTTATATTTCTTGATTTGGCAACACCACACACTTGACGGGTTTTATTTAAAGAAATACACATTTCTCTGACTTTTGAGCATATAAAATATCACCTACAAATCTGCCTTACGAACCGGAATGGGGACAGAGTTTTCAAT